CGGTGAGCGTTGGCAAAGTTAGTGGAAGTTCGTTCGATGATGGACGGTCTCGACAATGAGCGAGCTTCGGTAGGGCGACGCTGGGGCGATGGAGGCGAGCGGAAACCAAAACGAAACGACGGAATGAAATAATAAGGCAGACGGGCTCGGGAGAGAAATAGGGTTTCGACCGACTGTTTTTCCGGCGGATAAGATGCCGGTATTCTTTCCGTCGTATTTTTCGACGGTAACATTTCGTTGTGTTTAAATTAACCGGCGTCATATATATTGGTTAGTACGCCAGAAACTACCGGTGTAAAATACGCCGCATTATACTATGTGATTACAAATTACGACGTCTATACCGACGGAAACTAAGTTGGAAATATATTGGCGTAAAATACGCCGTAATATTACCGTAAACGCCAGTAAAAACCCCGTCTTTTCCGGCGTATATATATATATATATGCCGGAAGATACGACGAAAATTGCGGGTTTTCCTGTAGTTTGCTAGCGAGAATGTATTTTTATAGCATTCATTAATTGATCATCCATTATCAGCATTAAAAATTTTGGACATTAGGAATAAGAAGAAGCAACTTATTGCAATAAAAAGTTGCAAACAATTAAGTTATCCTGCAACGCTGTGGAATGCTATCTATCCGAGGAGAACATTGGTGTGCTCCTTTGTTTGTATTTTTATTACACTGTATCTATCTGTTGAAAATTACCTTGCACTATTAGTAAATATTCCGAAAAATATTATGATAAAAGTTCTTATCTAAATTTGCAATAATTTCTAAAAAACATATAGGGAATGATTATGAAGAAAACATTGATGGGCTGTTTGGTTTAAAGTAAAAAGGATTTAAAGTATTCTAAATTGAAGAGTTTGAAGCATATTGGTGCTTGATTTGAAGAGTTAATTTTATGTTATAAATGTTTTAAAAAATATTTATAATATTTAGAAGTTTTAAGTTAGTTATATTTTAAGTTTTAATTTTTAGTTTTTTTTGTAACTTTTTTATACATTTTATTTTAGTTATATATTTATAAAAATATTTATAACAGGTATACAACAACAACATTAAGACTTTATTTTACTACATGGGGTCGGCTACATGAATCCTTTTTCTCCATTGTGTCCTGTTAAGAGTCAAATTCTCATTTAAATTTAATAAAGAAAGGTCATTTCTAATATTTTCTAATCAAGTCTTTTTGGTCTACCTCTACCTTTCTTAACATAAGCCAGATCTAATACATCTACTTTCCTAACCAGGTCATTGAAAGGCTGTTGTTTTATGTGACCAAATCATCTAAGGCGACATTCTCTAATCTTATCTTCTACTGGAGCTACTCCAACCTTTTCATGCATATGCTCATTTCGTATCCTGTCTCTAAGAGTAAAGCCCTACATCTACCTGAGCATCCTCATCTCAACAACACTTAACTTAATATTATGCTTCTCTTTTAATGCCCAATGTTTTGTACCATAAAGCATTGCACCACCATCTTATAAAATATTTGTATAAATTTATAAAAGTATTTATGCTCATTTTATTTAATAAATTTTATGCTAAAGTTATTCTTTTAAAAATATTTACAATTATTTTAAAATTTTAAGTTATAATTATTAGGCTAGTTATAAATTTATTTGGCAAATGAGGAGTCTTTTTTTGTACAACTATTAGTCCTGAAGGAGGGTTAGGGCTATCATAGCATCTGCATAGGTATATGCTATTGATAACTATGGGCAAGTAAAATAAGCTAGATATTAAGTCTTGCTTATATCATCATCATAATGCATTAAGGGCTTACGGGCTCAATTGATTTCCCTTATCCCATCATTCACATGCTAAAGGAAGGGCCCATTTTCGTACAACCTGACAACATCCATTCATGCAGTTACAGTTGATCCTGAAGGAGGGCAAGGGCCATCATAACACCTGAAGAGAAATTCAATGCTAATTACTATGGATAAACAAAATTACTAAAAGAATATGTATTGTTTATATCTTGAATCATGATGCATTTAGGGCTAACAATAATTTTGGATTCCCTCTGTGCATGGAAAATGAGGGGCCAATATTCATACAACTTGACAACATTTTGTCATGTAGGTCATTTTCTGTCATGATGTAGATGCTAGAAACTTTTATTTAAGAGCAACCGATATGTCTCATACAATCGTCACAATTTGCTCCCACCTTTTCTTAAAAAAAATTACTTATATTATTGCATTACTTAGAAAGCCATCCTATTTTTTAGTCATGGCAAGCCGTTGTCGTAATAAAGTTGGTGAACTATATTCCAATCCTTTGTTAGTGATGATGATCCTTTGTCATAGGACAATTGATGAAACATCGTCCACTCCTTTCTTATATATGTAAGTGATTTCAAATGAAGGATACCATTATTATATGTATGTTTGAATGTTGGATTGTGACAAGTTGTTATAGAGATTATATGAGAAAGCTATGAAGTGCTTGATGATCATAAAAGAGGATTTCTTACTGGGTATGGATGGAAGTTAGTGCAAGATAGAATTTACAAAGATGGGTCATCTTTTAGTCGTGTTTCATTACTACAGGAAAAATGTCATTTTCCAGTGGCAATTTTCATCGGAAAATAGCAAAAATCCATCATAAATTAGTATTTTCGGCGGAAATATTTATGCCGGTAAAATGCGCGTCGGAAAGCTGCTACCGGCATAAAACAGTTTGCCAGAAATATTTCCGGAGGAAAAAAAACTATTGGAAATATTTCCGCCACCGACCTCCACCACCGCTAATCACCCTGTATTTGGATTTTACACTGTATTCATTTTATTTCAAGCAAAAATAAAATAAAAAATCAATCCCCGCATTTATTTTACACTTATCCAAACAACTCTAAAGTATTTCAAATACACTGCATTCTTTTTCAATCATCTAAGCAGCCCCTTAGTGAGTTGGTGAACTATTGATAACTTTTCACATCAATGTAATATCTATTAAACTCAATTAACTAAACAAATAATAGTTACAATTGTTACTCCACTTATTACTAATAACTTGTAGTAATTACAGGAATGCTTTTTATGAATGTGATCTAGCGCCAGATATCCGGACAAACAATTTTAAGCTAAGTCAGCCCAGTTCAAACAAAAAACTAGAATAATTTTTTATATAATTAAATAATACTAGAAATAACACTTGATGCATATTATTTAAAAATAAATTGTAAAATAAACAGAGTTCAACCTGATTAATTGCCCAAAGAATTATAGGATAATTTTATAAATTTTAACAGTAATTTTAGAGTAATTTAACCAATTTATCTTTTGTTTATTACCGATGAAATAACACTTTCACAGCAATTATTGGTGTATTTATATATTGAGTAATTTAAACTTTTTCACAATTAAAAATATCTAATTTATAGTTTTGAACAACAATTCCTTGTAGTCTATTACTCACGGATTATTTTAATATTTCTCTTGACCATACCAGCTAAGCTTCTCATAAAAGGATGGGGATTATATTCCTTATTTATAAAATTCATTTACGGTATCAAAAAATATCATTCATTTTAAATAATTATGATTATATTCCTTATTTAATAAACTGCTAAAATGTCGAGGGAAGTCAAGCTATCATCTAAACTGAATGTAAAGGCTTAATATGAGTAAATATATCAATAAAATTACTATGAGATAATAATACTATATAAAGGTGAGTGAAATCTGTCTAATGAGTAGTTATGAACTTTCTTTTGTGTAATATTACTCATAAAATATTAATTAAAGATTGTGCTTTTCTGGTTATGAAAAAAATAAATCTTATTGAATATAAGTCCAGTATGAACCTGATTTTTTTATTGCTATAAGTGAACATAATGTTAATAGCCCGATTAAAATTGGTTTACAATGCATTTGAGATGAAATTATCTGAAATGATTGTTGTACTATTTTGATTCTTGCTCCATACACTTGGTCGGCTGTTAGGGAGCACCTTTGTTTTAGTTTTTATTTCTTCGGCGGCAGTGGTTGTGGGTGGTGGTTCTTGTTTTGAAATTTTAGGTTAAGTATTCAAAGTTTAGTTTTAGCACGTTTTTTTGGGAATATTTTTAATTTTAGTTTTCAAATTTTATTTTAAACATTCATAATTTATGTTTTTTTTCAAAATTCTTCTTAAATATTTACTTTAAAATTTATTTTTATGATGCTTGTCCAAATTTTTACATTTATTTGTTGGTTTTGAAAATTTATGTTAATTATTTATAAAAACATAAATTACAGCAAAGCAATTAAAAAATATATATGGTGAACTAATTTTCATACTGAGTTGATTTTATTAGAATATAATGAAAATGAATTTGATAAGTTAAATACCTAAAATTCTATTACAAAAATTATGACAATTATTTTGAAAAAAGATGAGGCCTTTGCTAGTAACTTTTTCTGATATAAATCAAGCTAACTAACTAAAATTTAAAACAAAATGTGATAAGAAAAATTTAAACGCATAACCCAATAAAGAATTATTATGGTGAAAATATAAATGACACTTAAATTGATAAAATAACTAAAGTTCCCTGGCGAAAATCATGACAGGTTTTTGGTAAAAAGAAAATGAGAAAATTGCGAACTAAAATTTTCTAGTATAAATGAAGTATACTGAAATTTAAAACAAAATGAGCCACAAAAAACTTAAGCAAGCAAACTTAAATAAAACAAAATGTGATGACATCTAACCCTACCGATTGATCTAGCAATGATCAAGAAAGAGTCTACATCAGTGGGCACCAGAAACACCATTTTTATCCTTCAAGATGTGTCCTAGCCTATTCATGAATCATTGTATATCATTCTGTAATGCAACAAAGATGAGTATCTCACCCTTATAAAATATCCACACTACATAGAATTTATACTCAAATTAGTTGGATAGACATCTTGCATTATGAGCTTTTAGTTGGTTTGACTGGGCATCATGCATGTTCTTTGTGCATGGAAATATGACTGATCATTATGTTGTAGGAATTTCACCAAAAGTATTACCACCCCAGCAATGCCAGGATATGGTTCTATGGAGATGATGATCCAGCGGAGCGGCTGCGTATTTTAAGTGGTATGCCAAATTAATCCTATCCAAATCCAACTTCCAAAATTCATTTCCTTGTTATTAATATTTTTGCCAATATAAGTGGGAATTTATAATATTCCATAGGATGAATAAACTTCATAGGTTTTATCTAAGTTGCACTGAAAAACACTACTAAATTTTGGTTATAAAGTCCCTTTGAGCAGGTTGATCTGTTGAACTTTGAGCAGGTTGATCTGTTGAACTTTAAGTTATGCTTTATCATACTTGTACTGTGCTTGTTGGTCAAGCTTTATCATGGATAAAAGATGATCGGTACTTTATGTTCTCCATGATTGGTATTTGGTTTTATATAGATGAGTTTGCTTCCGCATATCTGGTAAAGTTAGAATTTGTTTCCAAAATTATGGAGATCATTAATTCTACTGTATTTTTGAGTCTGCCTTTTATTAATGCAGCTTACCTCGACCAGTTTGAAGCAAGTCCTGCTCCTAACGAGTCAAGGGTTAAAGCACAAAAGTTATTCAAAGAACCAGTAAGGGTTGTTGAAAAATACCCTGCTGGTGAAGGCGGAGATTTGAAGAAAAAGCACATGGTTTGTGTTAACTGGTTGCTATCTGATGGTCCCTTGGACTTGGAAACTGAGCTTACCCTAGGGTTTTTGGATCACTTGTTGCTCGGAACACCAGCTTCGCCTTTGAGAAGAATCCTACTTGAAAGTGGCTTAGGAGACGCCATTGTTGGCGGGGGAGTGGAAGATGAGCTGCTTCAACCCCAATTTAGTATTGGATTAAAAGGTGTTGCGCAAGATGACATCAATAAGGTTGAAGAGTTGATCATGAACACGCTTAAAAGTCTAGCTAAGGATGGCTTTACTACTGAAGCTGTGGAGGCATCAATGAATACTATTGAGTTCTCTCTGAGGGAGAATAACACGGGTTCCTTCCCACGAGGCTTATCTTTGATGCTTCGCTCCATTGTATGACAATCTATTACCAATAGCCTGGCAACCTTATAGCTCATCGTAAAGTTTCTGTATTTTATATTTTTTTCGCTGTGTTTCTCTGCAGGGAAAATGGATATATGATAGGGATCCATTTGAGCCACTAACTTATGAGAAACCATTGCAATCTTTGAAAGAACGCATAGCTAAAGAAGGTTCAAAAGCTGTCTTCACTCCAATAATAGAAAAGTACATATTGAACAACTCTCATCGTGTTACTGTAGAAATGCAGGTGTCTCCTGGCCCCCTAATTTTCTTTCCATGTAAATGAATTGTTATGATATCTTACTTCCGAGGATTTTTTTTTCAAAATTTCTACAGCCTGATCCAGATAAAGCATCTCGTGATGAAGCTGAGGAGAAAGAAATACTTCAAAAGGTTAAGGCAAATATGACAGAAGAGGATCTTGCTGAGCTAGCACGGGCCACACAAGAACTTCGTCTAAAACAAGAAACTCCGGATTCACCTGAAGCTTTGAGATCTGTTCCAAGCCTTTCATTGCAAGATATCCCTAAAAAGCCTACACACGTCCCAACAATTGTAATGGCTTTTCTTTCTGACAAATATTATTTCATAAAATAGTGATGTTTTAAGACCCTTGCACAGTCCCTCCATCCCTTCCTCTCTTACATGTTTTGCAAATGCACCACCATGAAATCTAAATTTCTTTAGTAATGTTTTTATGAATCTTGACTGGAACAAAAAAAAATTATGTTACATTCTTTCTAACTGTAGATTGGTGAGGTCAATGGAGTAAAAGTTTTGCATCATGACCTTTTTACAAATGACGTTGTTTATTCAGAAGTTGTTTTTGATATGTCTGCGGTGAAGAGAGAACTGATCCAACTGATTCCGTTGTTCTGGTAAGCAAGGCCATCTTTCCCTATGTTTATTTGTGCTTGTACAGCGCTCCAGGTTCTGTTGTTCTGCTCTCATTTCTTGTCTAGTTTCTAAACTGTTAGTCTGTGTTGCTTATTCGATGGTTGAACTAATAATCTTAGAGTTTTGTACCAGTCAGTCTTTGCTAGAGATGGGTACAAAGGACATGGATTTTGTCCAGCTTAATCAATTAATCGGAAGGAAAACTGGAGGCATTTCAATTTATCCCTTAACTTCTTCTGTGCGGGGAAAAGTGGATCCATGCACTCGTATAATTGTACGAGGTAAAGCAATGTCTGGGAAAGTTGAGGATCTATTTAACCTGGTATGTTTACTTTCTTTGTGAACACTCATATTTGTGAAATACTTCTTATGGGCTATACACAGAATATAGGATAATAATAAAACTAAAAACCGCAAGGTTGGCTTCTTTGGTGCTGCTCACTTAAATGTCTTCAATCTCTTTGTTTAACAAATCGTGTTTCTCAGTCCAGTTTATTTGATCCATCTATTTTACACCCTGCTTTTTTGTTTCATATTAGAAGTTAAAAGTTGTATTAGTGAAGATTCCATGAGGAACGGCATTCAGTTTTTATTTATATTTATGCGTGACTTTATCTTCTTGTTGATTGATTCAATATGTTTTCTACAGATGAATTGCATTCTTCAGGATGTTCAATTCACTGATCTGCAACGCTTCAAGCAGTTTGTTTCACAAAGCAAAGCTAGAATGGAGGTACATTGTTTTGGTTTTCCTCCATCTGATTTTTGTGGGTGCCTAGTGCAGATTTTTCCTAATTTTGCTTGTCAGCAGAGCCGAGTAAGAGGTAGCGGACATGGGATTGCAGCTGCCAGGATGGATGCAAAACTAAATGTCGCAGGATGGATTTCTGAACAGATGAGTGGTATTAGGTTTGTTTCCTTTAGGCTTCTTCAATATATCTTTTCCTTCGGATCATGTTTTTAAGAGTAATTTGTGGTACCCATGTCACAATATGTATCATTCAAGTATCAAAACCAGCATGGAAAAAAGTTCAATGCATGAGCATCCTGTTAGTTTTTTATTCTAATGTGTAGGGTTATCTCCCTTGTGCGGCAGTAGTCTCAGAAGACAAGATGATGCTGAGCGGGTGTTGTAATTTTATTTTAATTGTTGAAAAACCTTCTTGTGTTGTCTAGATTAGGGGTGTAAATGAGTCGAGCCGAGTCGAGTTTTGACATTATCGAGCTCTGCTCGTCAGTCGGAAAGCGAGCTTGAACTTGAGCTCGTCCCACTGTAAACGAGCTCGAGCTGGCTCGCAACCCTCGATGGTCGTCTATGTCCGAGCGTCCTTCACTCGTGTTTTCCCGCATGAGATTTCCCGCTCACGGAACTTCCGCCCTTGATTTTTTGCCCTCGGAACTCCGCCTCCGTTCGTGAGGAGCTCGCGAGTCGAGCGGTATGTTGTTCGAACTCGAGCTCGATAAACCGTTGAGCTTGAAACCCTGTTCGAGCTCGAATAGCGAGCTCAATTCGTTGAGCCTGTTAACGAGTTGGGCCCTGGCCTACTTGCGAGTCCGCTTGACTCGGTTACACCTCTAGTCTAGATGTTTTCATTTTTCCCAAATTAACCTTGCTGTGCTGTCTAGATGTTTATACCTCTATTGCTGTTCTTACAAAACACAAGGATGGTACAAAAATAAAAGGATTAGGAAGAGGATTGTTAGAGGGAATGCTATTGAGAAAGAAATAGAAGAGAAGAAAATCTTGGGCTATGCCTCTCCACTGTTGGGTAGTGGTAGGGTTTATACCCTCTTTGTTGTAGGAAAGGAATATGCGAGGAAAATTGCTGATTCGCCCCTAGACCATTTGATATTTTTGAAGAAGTAATGCCGGAAGAAAAAATAATGGAATGATCAAATATTCAGAGGTTTCAATCTGCGATATAATGTTCATAATCTCAGTTTGATATCAGTTCAAGAAAGAGAGTGAGACTCTGCCAAGGAGCAAATATAATGAATAACAAAGTATTTGCAAAAAAAGATCCCATACCAAAAAGAGGACATGAAAATTTATGTAATTAGGCTTAAGTAAGCCTATTTACATTGCCGCACATAGATTGAATAATTCACTAAAGAAAGGGCACATAAATGATTATGCTTAATGCAAAATTGGAGAGAAACTCATACTTTAGATGTTGGTCCTGCTAGTTCTTCTGAATTTCAATTTTTGCACTCCATGTTGTGATTTCATGTGAACATCAGTTCACCATTCCCTAAAATTGTACCGTTGTATTTTGTGAGACTTTTGTGTTTCTGGAGGGAGTGGATACCTTACTTTCCTTACTTTCCTGCATGTTATTGTCAAATACATGGGAACTTTTATTTTATTAAAAAATGTATGGCTTTGAGAACTTATAGTTGCTTTATTTATTGTAACATAAGTGATTAAGGTTTTGTTTGGGATGGCTTTCTTCATGCTTCTTAAAGCAGCTTTCTATTACAAAAAATAAAATTTGTGTATTAAATAACTGCTTCAAGAAGCAGTAAGAAAGCCGTCCCAAACTGGCTTCTTTTGGGACAGTTTTTTTGTTGCTTTTTAAAGCATTTTTTTAATACCAAAATTAAAACTTTTGTACTAAAAGCTGCTTTAAGAAGCAGTAAAAAAGTCGTCTCAGACGAAGCCTAAGTGATGCTCATAGCATGCTTTTTTAACCGCATTCTGTCATCCTGCAGTTACTTGAATTTCTTAGAAGATCTTGAAAAGAGGCTTGATCAGAATTGGGATGAAATATCTTCATCACTCGAGGAAATCCGTAAATCTGTCTTTTATAGGGAAGGCTGCCTTGTTAATATGACAGCAGAGGAGAAAAACCTTAATCACTCGACAAAATTTGTGGCTAAGTTTCTTGATTTGCTCCCAAGCTCTGCATCCACTGAACTTCATCCCTTGCGGAACCAGCTGCCTCCAGTCAATGAAGCCATTGTTATTCCTACTCAGGTGCAATCAATTACCTACTCGCTTAATTTTTACCTAATAATGCTTCCAAATATAACACCGATCTTTCCTTGCTTATAGGTTAATTATGTTGGGAAAGCTGGTAATATTTATGAAGCAGGATATCAGCTCAGTGGATCTGCATATGTCATTTCCAAATACATAGGTAATACCTGGTTATGGGATCGTGTACGCGTTAGTGGTGGTGCTTATGGAGGCTTTTGTGACTTTGACACTCATTCAGGTGCCTTGTTTGTTCTCTTCTTGTTCTCTCAATTTCAGTTTAATATACTTCTACACAGATATGTAGAATGTGTTGCATTAGGAGCGAATTAGGGACGGCTTTCTTACTGCTTCTTGAAACCGTTTTTTAGTATAAAAAAAGCTGCTTAAAGAAACAGTAAATAAGCCGTCCCAAACAAAGCCTTAGTTTCCTTTGGTCCAGTTACGCATTTCTGCATTTCTACACGCAAGGTTACTTAGAAATTGTTGCATTAGGAGTGAATTAGTTTCCATAGTTCCAGTTAAACGTTTCTACATTAAAAATGACAGGAGTATTCTCCTACTTGTCCTATCGAGATCCAAATTTGTTGAAAACACTGGAGGTCTATGATGGAACAGCCAGCTTTCTCAGGGAGCTTGACTTAGATGATGATTCTCTTACAAAAGCAATTATTGGTACAATTGGAGACGTCGATGCTTACCAGTTGCCTGATGCCAAAGGTTATAGCAGGTATGTGGTCACAATTACAAATAAATGCATTTGCACTTATGGTTCAATCTGATAATTCATGGGTGGTGTACATAAGCATGTATAAAATATGTTTGGGACAGCTTTCAAACGCCTTAACTTTTCATACTACAATCACTTTTTTATTTGGAAACTGTTTTATTTCAGCTTTTAAAAAAAATTTATAGTGGAAAGCTGTCTTTTGTAATCAGATCTACTAAAATATAGGGGCAGTAAGAAAATGACCGTCTAATATTTCAAAATAGAAAAATATTTATAATTCCAACGACAGTTTAAAAAAAAAAATTTTTTCCTAAAGTTTGCTTTTGCAATATTTTGATCAACAGTCTATTGCGACATTTGTTGGGCATAACTGATGAGGAGCGAGAGATAAGGCGCGAAGAAATTCTATCGACGAGGTTCATTTTCCTTCTTTATGTTTGGTTTACTAGACAATCAATGGTAAATTCTTAACCTATAACTATTCATGTTCAGATTGAAGGACTTCAAGGAGTTTGCAGATGTTATTGAGGCTGTTAAGGATAAGGGAGTTGTGGTTGTAGTTGCTTCTCCAGAAGATGTTAATGCAGCTAATGAAGAGAAATCTGGATTCTTTGATGTCAAGAAAGTCCTGTAAGACTCAGAAGAGTTCACGGCTCTATAATTATACTGGTTGTTCGGAGCCAAAGGCTCTATATAGTCGACCCAGAGAGCATTGATTATATGAAGAAACTGGTGCCATGTTATTAAAACAAGCAATCTGGGGCAGATAAGCATCTGCTCGTAGCAGGACTTTTGTACTAGAAAGTCGTTTTAATACTAGAAAGTTTGGATTCTTTGATTTCAAGAAAATTTTGTACTAGAAAATCGTTTTAAAAAGCAACAAAGAAGCTGCCCCAAACGAAACCTTAACCTAGTTTTTCTAATTTGACAATGCAATGTGTTGGTTTAACCCACTTGAATGAACTTCCTTTTATAATGTGGTGTTATTGGTAATGCAATGAATTGATTTTTGAATGCTTGGAAGTCAACATATTCTCCTATGTTGCATCTCATATTTCATCATGTCATGCAAATTTTTAAGTGTATAAATAATAATTTTGTTTATTGGTTAAAAGATATCTATTAAATTAACAGATGCAACTCAATTAGATTAAAAGTTGGCTCGAATTTATTTTTTTCTTAAATTAAAAATTGGCCCAAGATAATTAAAATCTTTGCTTTTGAATTGGTGCCACATTGATAAAACTATATATCATCTGTGTGACCAACCTTTTATGCAATAGCTTTTGTTTGGGAAACTCACTAATGATGACCATTACATAGACAATTTGGGTTTTGTTTGGGCCAGCTTCTACAAGCAATTTTATAATATAAAAATTAAAATTTTGTACTAAAAAACTGTTTTAAGAAGTAGTAAAAAAGCTGGCCCAAACGAAACCTTAATGCTACATTAATTTATAGGATAAAAGGATTGTTTTTTATTATTCAAGAAGATAAAAACAGTCAGAAAACTCTTGCAAATGAATGGCCTTTATTTATAGATCCAGCTTCCAACAAACATGAAGCAATCCTCATAATATAAAATGTTAAGTAAAACAAAAATGAAATTAAATAGATGGATCATAATTCGCATCAATAATTAGCCTTACTTTGAGGGAACAAGAATCGCAAGGAAGAACCACTGAAGCTTGTGTCGTCAAACCATCAGTTAATGAGAAATGGCCGCCATTATTTTTCACTGAAACACCTAATTCCTCGAGCTCAGCTAAGCTAATCAGAAAAAAATCACCACATCGGCATGGGAAGGAGAGCTCCTTCATATCACCATCAACCTGAACCATCATTTCTTCCAATCTTATCTCATTATCAACAACTTCTAATTCATTTCTGGAAGCTTGCAATATGTTGTCATAATTTTCTCTGGATTTGGGGTCTGACAGAACCTCCCATGCCTTCTGCACATCAAGAAATATTTCTTGTTGAATTCTAATTGGAAAACTTGTCACAGACTTGCCACGAAGCTTATCAGGATGGGAGCTGAGGATTGCAACTTTGTAGTTTTTTTTAATCTCGTTATAAGTTGCATTTTCGTTCACTGACAGGACCTCATAGTGGGTTCTAGAAGACTTGTTTCTGGGATGAAGCATGATGAAAGGGGAGTTGTTGTCCTATTGACTGATTGTTGAAGATGAAGAAGAAAGCTGAAACATTGAGTGGTTTAGAAAGAGTAAAAGGTTTGTGAGAATAAACATTATAGAAATGACTTGGTTTTTTCTTTCTTAGAGAAAATTCAGCTTAAATCCCAACTAAGATGAGGTACAATTAGCGACTTCGAATTGCGTGAAACTGATAGAAAATAGCCCAACATAATAGAAAACAGAGCAAAAATCTGCAATATACAACAGTTTTTACCACAAAATTGTAAAAAATCTGAGAGAAAACACTTGAAATTTGCTAGTAGAAGAAGAAAAATAACACAAGATACATAGATCTTAAATTTGAGATGAAGAACCGACTCTCGAATTCTCTAGCCAAAAACTAGAGCCCAAGCACCACACAAGCGATCCCAAATTCAGATTCAAATTCAAGATGAAACCATAATTCTCCCAAAGGAACTGATTAAAACAAAGAAAAAAAAAAACAAAGAGGACTCAAGCAAAATCCCTAAACATCCCTTAATTCAAAATATCCCTCCCAAAGTCATGTTTAATTGAGATGTGGGCCCCATCTCTCCAGCTGCTCCCTTCTCTCTATCTCTCTTCGCCGGTTCCGCCCCTCCCATGGGTCCACCTTCTGTAGAATAAAACCGGTCCAGGTTGGACGAGTTCAGTCGGCCCCCCTTGGGCCGGCCTAACAGAAACAAAAGGTGCAACAAGGATAATTGAGGAACTCAGACAATTGCTAAGTGTATTCCTTTAATTGGAGACAGTGAAAACTAATATGCTTATATTGGTGATGGTATTTTGTTGAAGAAGAAGCCAATATGTTCAACTACTTGAAATGACAAACATCATTCTAATATATTGCTCATATCATAAATACTACAATTTGGCACCACAAGGATTTTGCAAATTTAAAAGTAGCATAAAATCTCTGAAAATTTGAACAACAGTTGAGAAGCTGCATATGCTTGCATCACCTAATGAGGCACTAGACTATACAAAATATCAGCTTATCAAGCTAAGATCACAATCTAAATATCAAATTGGCTATGAATGATATTTGATGATCCTAACCATGCTCATTCCATTCATTCAGCATTCGCCACAGTAAAGGGGATGAAAATAAAAGCTTTCCTACTTAAATATTTTACAAGCACTAAATAACATATAATTACAAACAACATAACATAATTCAGATTCTTTGTAGACTCATTTCCAAACATAATTCAGGTGGTATAAACATATCAAGATAAAGAAATCAGCCGACTTTCGGCTACAACATCCCACAAATTAACGAGAGCCTGTTAATTCAGGGGCAACTTCAAAAGTTAGCTAGCAGTCATAAAATAGCAACCCAAAAAAATAGTGTTGTGAATTTTCGTTAAATACTAAAGATAGCTTGAAAATTGGATTGAATTTTGACTTGGATCAACTCAAATCAAAGATATATATATATATTAGTTTAAACCGGTATGTATGTTAGATTTATAATTTGTCTCAAGGGGGTGTTTGGTATCGGATTTATTTCGAGTTTTTAGTAGGATTTACGGTAAATCCAGCCAAACGCAAAAAAAGTCGCGGTAAATCCGGCAAATCCGTAAATCCCGGATTTTTACGGCGTAAATCCGCTAAATTCCGGTAAATCCTAATCCCGCTAGAAGTCGGATTTACGGGATTTGGCCGAAGAAGCGCGCAAAAGGGAGAAAGTTACCTTCACAGCGAGCGAGCTACCGTCGTTGCTTCATATCAAAATGTTGTAACGTCCAAAGAAACGACTCGTGCAATCTCTACACACAGTCGAACAGCAACGAAGGAGCCGAAGAAACGGCTCGTGCAATCTCTACACCTGCGATGCAACGAAGCCCAACAGCAAGGACGAACGAACAAGAGATAAAAGCAAACCCTAGACGCCATTACTCGTTAACTTAATTAATATAATTGAAAATATTAATAACTAATTAAATTAATTAAATAATTAATAGAATAATTAGTGTATAAATTAATTATCTAATTTAACTTAGTAAAATAGTTAGTAATATAATTAGCAATTAAAAATTACTATAATTACCTTAATTAATATAATTTAAAATATAATTATTAAAAATATAATTAATAATATAAATAATAATTAAATAATTAATGAGCAGTAGAATTCTTAAGCTATTAATGAGATAATTAATAATAAAATTTATAATTAATACTGATAAAATAGTAATTAAATTATTAATTAAAAAATTCGTAGGCTTATTAGATAAATAATTAGTTATTTTCTTACTCGCAAACAACTTTATAACTTGATGCGGAAGCGAATTAAGTGTCTTTATATTACTCGTTCAATTTTAAATCTCCAACTGTTTTAAATCCTGTAATCTATTGTCAAACATCTTTATGGATTTAACATGATTTAAAAATTGTCATGCCAAACACAATTCAGGATTTAAGAGCCCAGGATTTACTAAATCCGAATTTACAGGATTTAGTAAATCCTACTAAAATTGAATCCAATCCTATACCAAACACCCCCCAAGAGATCAAAATAGGATAAACTTTTTTTGCTAAGATTGAGTTAGAATTGAAGTTAATGATCCATGATTGGCTTGAATTAACATAGAATCAAGCCACTTACGAAATACACATAATAAAATAAATGAGGATTATATGTCAAACTAAGATTGAGAAGCCTAATTTATGTAAAAAGATATCTTATTAAAAAAAAAAAGCCTTAGATCATAAAAAGAGAGAAACAAATACCAGAAAGTAGATGGGCAGTAAATTTTGAAAATGAGAGTAAAACCCTAAAGAACAACAACAAGCGAAGAAATGAAAATGACATAGTAGCAGGAATGGAGAAGATGAGCTAGGCACCATACCTATTCGATTTAGTCCTCCAGTATAGGCTGCCAACCAAAATCCGCGAGCAAACCTTCGTGGTCCGCCACCGAGCCCTTGATCTTCTTCAAATCCTCTCTCACCGTTCCTCCTGCGGCCGCCGCCCGCTGGTCTCTCTCTCTCTCGCCCTAGGCCCGTCTCACCCTTTCTGGCCGATTGGAATTGTCGAAAGTATCTTAGGAATAAGGAATCTAATAAAAAATAATAACCCTAAAAAAGAAGTTTATATTTATTCTTTAATAAATAAAAAATAATTACCTTGAATTTCAAGGCTTAAAATAATAACTTTTGGGATTTAATGAAATAGCATTAGACGAACACTAATAGGAAAGCCCTAATAATGGAACTTTTATTTGATCCGGTCACCTAACGTAGCTCTACGTTCGGACGTCAGTAAATTAGTGACACGTGTTCTCACTATTTACGGCGCGGCCCGACAACACGACCCGGAACGGAGCCGGGATTGCTATGTTTGCGTATTACTACGTATTACTCGGTATTACTAGATATTGGTCGATTTTGCTCAGCAATAACGAGAAATATCATTCTGTGAAGACCAATACCGTGCAATACCGAGAAATACCGAGCAATACTGAGCAATATCGAGATTTTCTCGGTATTGCTCGGTATTTCTCGGTATTGCTCGGTATTGGTCTTGACAGAGCGGTATTTCTCGTTATTGCCGAGCAATACCTAGAGCAATACCGAGCAATACGCGAACATAGCAATCCCGGGTTAGGTCGTCGGGCCGCGCTGTAAAGAGTAAGAGCACGTGGCGACATATTATTGGTGTTCGAATATAGAGCTACGTCAGATCACCTGACATAATAATTGTTCCTAATAATGAAGGTTCTAAATCAATATTTTAATATATAATTACATAAATAATATGCCAATTCATATAATATAGCATTGAAAAAAATATTATAATACGATATCTTGATGCATTTTATAAAGCAATGATTTTTTTTTCTCATTTCACATATTATTTTTCAATACAAATGAACTAATAGATAATATATTTAATATTTTTTCCAGTTGAGATAAATGGGATAATTTCATTGAAGTCCGGTAATATGAGAAAGCCTTACGGGTAAGTAAAGCTATAGAAATATGAAGTTCTGTAAGCTGAAAAATTCCTCCCATAAATTATCTTGTAGTTACATAGATACTGCTGCACTTTAAAAGCATTAAGATTTCATATGAGATTAATTTCTTACTATTTTTTAAAATAAAGTTTTAATAAAAAATAAAAAAAATTTATATTACAAAATTACTTTAAGAAACAGTAAATGACAATTCGACTAGATTTGATTGAGGACTTGAAGTGAAAACCAGACAAGATATGGCATATAGCATGTAGTTCACAAACTCCTGAAATGATAAAATCAGATAATGAATGCCCATAAGCAATGTTATTTGTGGAATCTGATTGTTCTAATCAATTGGGTTGTTTTGTCGCCTCAAACTACAAGTCTGTCGTGCTAGCTGGGGGTTGCATAGGGTTTACCTCTAGATTTTTTTCCACCTACAACACCCTGACGTTATGTACCAGAGCGCCTCGGCGCTACATACTCAACAGCCCCGATGTTTTTTTCCCAAGCACCTCAGTGCTGAACAACAGAGAGCAAAGCGTCGTAACGGTCTAAATATGGTGTCATTGTGGATCGAGATAGAGGTTTGAACGCCATATCATCCTAAAATGGAGTCGCAGCGCTACGAGACGAACTTGATGAATTTTTTTTCTCGTTTTTTTAAAGGGTTGCGTACCTTGAGATTTTTTACTTGACTTTCTCTTGTATTTTGAGTGATAAAAATATAGAGAATGGTGCACGTAAAAAGAGAAGAAAGAAGAAAATGAGAAAAAAGAGAGATCTGTACTAATTTTTTCCAATTTTCATAGTGAATTGTTTGGCGTGTTGTGGCCCAGTAGTTTTTTTTTTTCTATTTGAATTTTTTTTCACGTTAAATCCTGATATCATTTATTTTCTCTGTTGCTTCTATTTCTTGCTTATTTTATCAATATGGTGTTCAATCCTCATCCTCAACAACCAAGCCAAATCAGTCGATTCCAACTAAAATTTCTCACATTTGCCTGATCAGACCGCACAGCTTCAACAAGGAATAGCCAGCATCTGACAATGAAAGATCTACTCATTATTAACTGCAAATGATGACAAAATATAATATACAACTCTTTCAAAATAAACATGCAACAAGGGTCTACATTAACAACCACAACAATATCAAATCTTTATCCAAATTTTATTTCAAACAGACCCAACATGATGCTCATTACACTCTTATCCTTCTAAGTTTTACTAGGTGTATTGGATCCAATACATTCACATAAAGCTCTTATATCAAAAGCATACATTTCTACAGAACTGAACAGCACGATTAATGATTATGTGCGGACGTCAAATGCCGTCCGGAGACCAATCAGAATGCGCCACATCACCCATTCGCTGGTACCGCAGCTCTGTACCACTGACGTGCCACATTCTGGTTGGTCTCTGGACGACGTTCTGCGTCAGGTATCCGCACAGAATAATTTCTCGAAGAGCACAACAACTTTATCCAACCTCACTGTAAAAACTGAAAAAGAAATCCAAGATATGAACCATTAGAATCCAGAATGAGCTGTAAGAACAGTGGAAAGCTCAATCAAATTTGTACCACATCTGAATATTATCTCTGCAAATCATAAATTGTTAAGAACTATCTAACTCTAAGAGTTTTAAACCCTAAATGCACAAAAACGCAAAGGTTTTTAGAATGCTGTGGCGTGTGTTAGAAGGTTCCATGCCCATCGTCGGAGTGGAACAGTATTTCATCACCAAGTTATGCGGCCAAGTCACCTACTGATTACACCAGACATCCATGGGACAACCACCGGGGCCGTTGGGTGAGAGCTCCTGTATGAGTCAGAGTACTTATCTTTGAAAGTCAGGCGAGGCTTTTCATCCTGCATTCAAAAATTGAGGAAAAAAATAATAGAAATGAAATTAAATTGACAAATATACTTGTGAAGGCAAGGGCCTTATTTTTTATAGATGTCGGTTCATATGATCAACATGTCATAGTTATGTTATTTGCTTGTAATCAAATGAAAATATTATGAAATTTAGGCTTCTTTTAGGACAACTTTCTTGCTGCTTCTTAAAGCTGTTTTTTAGTACAAAAATTAAATTTTTTATACTAGAAAGCTTCTTAAAAAAGTAATAAGAAAGCTGTCCCAGATGAAGCCTTAATAAATATGAAAGTTTAAATTTTCTTCGCAATCACCACCTTTTGGAATTAGTTGTAGTATCATCATTAGGAAGCATATTAATATTTTAGCCACATATCACACGCATCATCCATTAATCATATACATGAGTTTTTTAGCTTCACAACAACAACAATAACAAGCCTTTGTCCCACTACGAGAGGTTGACTACATGAATCCTTTTTCTCCATTGTGTCATGTTAAAAGTCAAATTCTTATTTAAATTTAATAAAGAAATATTATTTCTAATATTTTCTAACCAAGTATTTTTAAGCCTGCCTCTACCTTTCTTAATATAAGTCAAATCTAATATCTCTACTTTCTAACCAGGTCATCGGAAGGCCGTCGTTTTATGTGATCAAACAATTTAAGGCGACTCTCTCTAATCTTATCTTCCACTGGAGTTGCTCCAACCTTTTCACGTATATGCTCATTTCGTATCATGTCTATATGGATAAATCCACTCATCCACCTGAGCAACCTCATCTCTGCAAAACTGAACTCAGTATTATGCCTCAAGTTTCAGTAGAATAAAGTATTGCAGGTCTCACCACCATCTTATAGAATTTTCCCTTAAATTTGATGGGGACTTTTTTATCACACAACAAGCTCAAAGCATTCCTCCACTTCAACCATCCAACTTGAATTCTACTGATTATATCCCCATCTATTTCAACATCACTCTGAACCATAGATCCAAGATATCTGTTAGACCGGTCCATTGGACCGGTCCAGCCGGTCCGTGCGGGACCGGCCCAGCGCAAACTGGGCGGAGAAATCTCCGCCCGCGGAGATGCCGAGCAAGCCGCACACCGTGCGGGAGCTTTTTAGGAATCTTTTTTGAGGGTTTTGAGAGGGAAATTTGAATGTAGGGACTGTTTAGGGATTTCCTTTTGATTTGTATGCATTAAATAGTTTGTTTTCCTAGGGTTTGGGCATCTTGAATTTGGCTGAAATTTGAGATCTCTTAGATTTAGGTTTCTTTGGACTCTAGCGGCGTCTAGAGATTTGGGAGAGATCGATCCTCCTCTCGAATTGAGGATCAATTGTATCTTTGCTAATTTCCTTGCATCTACTAGTAAAATACAAGTTTTTCCTACGATTTTCTCTCAGTTTTCTACAGTTTTTCCACTGTTTTCACTGTTCTCCTGCTCCGGACAGCAGTATTTCGTGGAGATTTGCTGTAAAGGTGAATAGGAAATACTTGATTTCAAGTATTTCCTATCAAATTGGTATCAGAGCAAGTCGTGGGACCGGTGGAGGGCTGATTTCGGCAAATTTCAGCGGTGATTAATTGCCCGGAAGGAAGGGGAATTGCTGTTTTTGAAGTTCCAAATCTAGAATTTGTGATTTTACAAACTCAGGATTGTGATGGCGGCCAAAAAGGTGGATGCTCATGGAGGAAAGACTTGAAGAGAAGAATGAATCAAATTAAAACGACGGGGGGAAAGGATTTCCTCCATGGAAGAGCAAGTTGCGATCTATGAGACATGATGAAAAACGATGTTAGAAATCCAAACCAAACTTCATGCTTCTGTGGCGAAAAGAATGGAGGGAAAAATACGAATTTTGATATTCGTAGGCGAGGAAGAGGAGGGTGGAGATCGTGGAAGGAGAAGGAAGAAGACCACATCCTGGAGCCTGTCCAGAGGAAGAAGAGGAGGATATAGGAACGCCATGACGGGGTACTGTGGTTGGCGAGGTGCTATTTTTGAGACAGAAGGGGGGAATTTGAAGGAGGTTTTGGCTTATGGTAGAGCAAGGGAAGACCGGGAAACATGGGGTGCACCTAGCACTTGAGGAGAGGGGAAACTATGGAGAATCCGGGGCAATGGGGGCACCAAAAGGAGGAAGTTGAAGATGCCCATATTCGAGGAGAAGATGCGTATGGGTGGATTTATAAGGTGGAGCGATACTTCGCCGTCAATGGACTGACGGAGGGGGAGGAAGCCTGACCGCAGCCGGACTGTGCTTGGAAGGAAAAGCCCTGTCATGGTATCAGTGGAGAGATCAGAAGAGGCCTATCAGGAACTGGAGGGAATTCAAAAAACTGCATAATAGAAACGTTTCCAAACCGTCCGGGAGGAGATTTCTATAGCAGTTCTTTGCTCTGGTGCATGGAGGATCAGTAGCAAGACTACCGGAGCGGTTCGAGCACCTGGCTAGTAGGGTGGAGCGATTATTCAGATATCGTATTGGAGGGAACTTCATGAATGGGTTGAAGGCAGAGATCCGAGCGGCAGTGAAATTTCTGATGCTAGTGACTTGGAGGAGGTAATGAAGTTGGCACAGCTGGTAGAAAATCAGAATAATCTGGAGAAGGGAGCCAGGAGCAGCAGCTCAGGAGGCTCTTACAAGACTACAACCGCTGTTTTAGCACCCAAGGGGCCTGCATCAGTCAACATTAATGAGACCACCAGGAGAAGCCATTAGGAGGAGGGGGGGATAACATTCAAGAAGCTTACTGAAACAGAATTACAGGAGAAGAGGCAAAAGGACTTTGTTTTAGATGTTGAGCGAAAGGTATACGCCGGGGCACAAGTGTAAGGACTGAACTCTTCAAGTCCTTACTGTTTGTGATGAAGAAGGAATGGAGGGTGTCGTCTTTCCACTTTGCGGACAAGGTGGACTTCGGGAGGGAGTATGTTAGAACCGGTCCAGCCAGTCCGTGCAGGACCGGCCCAGCGCAAACTGGGCGGAGAAATCTCCGCCCGCGGAGATGCCGAGCAAGCCGCACACCGTGCGGGAGCTTTTTAGGAAGCTTTTTTGAGGGTTTTGAAAGGGAAATTTGAATGTAGGGACTGTTTAGGGATTTCCTTTTGATTTGTATGCATTAAATAGTTTGTTTACCTAGGGTTTGGGCATCTTGAATTTGGCTGAAATTTGAGATCTCTTAGATTTAGGTTTCTTTGGGCTCTAGCGACGTCTAGAGATTTGGGAGAGATCGATCCTCCTCTCGAATTGAGGATCAATTGTATCTTTGCTAATTTCCTTGCATCTAGTCATCTACTAGTAAAATACAAGTTTTTCCTACGATTTTCTCTCAGTTTTCTACAGTTTTTCCACTGTTCTCCTGCTCAGGACAGCAGTATTTCGTGGAGATTTGTTGTAAAGGTGAATAGGAAATACTTTCCTATCAATATCTAAAATGTATACTCTTATTAATGACTTAATCGCCCAAAGTCACAATCCCCCTCACTAGGTCTATTACTACTAAAATTACACTCCATATATTCAGTTGTTTAGTTTCACAATGAAGAATAAATTCATTTCCTAATTGAGGTTTAACTTCAAAAATAATTTTAAGCTCAAACTCATTTTCAGCTTTAGATTCCAATTGATGTTTGGTTGCAGATAAGATCTCAGGTTCAATTTTATATCAGGGTTCATAAACAAGCTCTAATATAGTTTTTAGTGTGTAAGGATAGATAATAACAATCAGCGAAAACAAAAAAATTGAGAAAAGCAATTGTAACAAAACACAATTATAAGTACACACAGTTTTATGTGTCAATGACTATATAGAGTTTAAAAGTTCCGCTAAACTTTAAGAGAGATGTACAAAGAGATTATTATTACATGATAGAAGATGAATCAAATTTAGCACTTCGATAAGACAAAATAACAAACAAGTACTGCGATCAAGGTGAGATCAAACAAATCACGAAAGAGATAAAAGCTCATAATTGTTTGTTGTAGGAAGTGACCAAACTACCTCCTCCCTTCCGGTGAAGCCGAAATCTTCTTTCTATTGTAGATCACCCGATTCTTTTTAACAATGGCAGAACACTATCGTTGTAGCAAGAAGTTAAACTCCTCTTTAAATTTTATTTATAGAACAGTGATAGGAAGCACTTATGTCACAAGTATTCCTATCCCAAATCAGTAAAAACCAATAGTAAAACTGCTGTCCACAGCGAGAAAACAGCGAGAAACAGGGAGAAATTGAGAGAAAACACAAGAAAAGACTTGTATTCCACTAGACAATGAATAAAATCGCAAGATACAATTGATCCTCAATTCGAGAGGAGGATCGATCTCTCCCAAATCTCTAGACACCACTAGAGCCCAAAGAAAACCTAAATCTAATAGATCTCAAATTTCAGCCAAATTCAAGATGATCAAACCCTAGGGAAATCTACTATTTAATGCATACAAATCAAAAGGAAATCCCTAAACAGTCCCTACATTCAAATTTCCCTCTCAAAACAGTCAAAAATGCTCTTCTTGAGCGGACGGCCCGCCCGATCTCCGCCTCCTGCGGAGATTTCGCGTATTACGCGACTTTGCCGGTCCCGTGCGGACCGGCTGGACTGGTCCAGTGGACCTGTCTAACAAACAGTTATTGAAATAGCAATGTTATATAAATAGTAATATTATCTTTTGTCGAATTCAAAGATTTGAGAGGGAAAAACTATATCTTTATTGCACAAATCTATCCCTATTATAGATCTATACATTATATCAAATAAAGATACAAATAAATTACAGAATCAAGCATTATTACCCTAATAGAATCCTTCCTAAATCAACCACCTAACTATGAAAAGAATTGGTGTAATTCATGCGAGCCTCCCACGGATCTCCGTGGAAATCATCGGCTTAGATTTAACACTCTCCGACAAGTTAGAAAATATAGATATGTTATTCCCAACTTGGTAATCAACTCGAGAAAGACAGAGTTGTCCAATCCCTTGGTAAGGACGTCTGCAAGCTGATCTTTTAATGAGACGTGGTATATACATATAAGACCACTATATAATTTTTCTTTTATAAAATGTTTGTCCACTTCTATATACTTGGTCCTATTATGTTGATCTGGATTGTTAGCTATGTTGATCATTGATTTGTTGTCACAATGTAGCTTTATGGAGCCTTCCCACTTGATCATTAGGTCTTCTAGAATCATCTTGACCCATAGTAGTTCACATATTTCCAAGGTCATAACTCTGTATTATGCTTTTTATACTAGATCTTGCCACCATGTTCTATTTCTTGCTTCTCCAAGTAACTAAGTTTCCTTCAAGGAATGTGCAGTATCCAAAGATAGATCGTCTATCTACTGATGATATTGCATAATCTGCATCAGTATATGCTTCTAGGGTTATTCTGTGGTCTCTTCGAAAGAGAATCCCTTCCATTGGATTTCTCTTAGGGTAGTGCAGTATTCTGTCTATAGCTTCCATGTGACTGTTTTGAATTTTGCATGAACTAGCTGACCATACTTACAACAAATGCAATATCAGGTCTATAGTGGAAAAGATAGATCAATTTTGCCACAAGTCTTTGATAAGCTCCCTTATCTACATCTGGATCTTCTTCAGCTTCCCCAAATTTGAGATTTGGTTCTACTGGTGTTGTTGCCAGTTTACAAGCTAGTTTATTTGTTTCTTTAAGAAGATATTTGATGTAATTTTGTTGTGAAATAAAAATTCATTTGCTGGAGCGGGCAACTTCAATTCCAAGAAAATATTTTAGCCTACCAAGTTCTTTGATATCAAATTCCTTGGTAATACATTTTTTTAGAATAACTTTCTCCTTTCCATCATTCCCAGTCAAGATAATATTATCAATATAAACTAATAATATTATGATTTTCCCTGAGTCTGAGTGTTTGAATAATAGTGTATGGTCCCCTTGACTCTGTCGATAACTATTAAGAAGCATGAATTTTGAGAATCTTCCAAACCAAGATCTAGGTGACTACTTTAACCCATATAGAGCCTTTTTAACCTACACACCTTATTACCCCAAGAATTTTCTTTAAATCCGGGTGGAATCTCCATAAATCTCTTCTTCCAAGTCCTCGTGCAGAAATGCATTTTTTACATCCAGCTATTCCAGATGTAAGTTATAATTAGCTATTGGTGAGAGTAGGATCTTGACAATGTTCATCTTGGCCACATGTGTAAAGGTTTCCTGATAATCGATGTCAATGTCTAAGTATACCATTTCGCCACCAGTTTTGCCTTATACATTTCCAATGTACCATCAGCTTTATATTTTATAGAGAAGACCCATTTGCGGCTGACTGGTTTTTTCCCCACGATAGATCGGTGATCTCCCAATTATTGTTCTTTTTAAAAGTCTGCATTTCATCTTTCATAGCATTTTTTCAATTTTTATCAGATAAGGCCTCAAAAATATCATTAAAAATATGAATATCATTTAGCATAACCAAGACGTTTTTATGTGAAGATGAGAAATTACTGAATGATATAGAGTTGGTTATGAGGTATAAGGGAGGTTTCTTTGGAGAACTTGTGTTTACCTCGATTTTAGGAGATGATTTAGATTCTTGGATCTGCTCTGGAGTATAATTGGACTTGTACGTCTGGAATAAACATTCCCAAACCTAATAACAACTTTGTCCTCAACTTCTCTGACTTTGATTTCAGATTTAGGTGGATTGGTTTGAGGTGGAGGTGGAAGGTCAAGAGGGGCAAATTGGCTTTCCTCATCTTTCTTAATTTCAGTCTCCCTTTGAAGATGAGGTTTGGTAAAATAAAATTTTTGTTCATCAAAAGTAACATCAACAGATACAAGAGTTTTCTTGGTGAGGGGATGATAACACTTGTAACATTTTCGGGTGGATGAATATCCAACAACAATGCATTTAAGTGTTATGGATGTAATTTTTCTCTATTCTTGTTGTGTGTGAATATAGGCAGTGCACCGAAAGATTCTGGGTGTTAGGTTATTATGAGTTCGAAACTCAGGGTAAAATGAGGATAAAGTATTCATCGGAGTTTTTAGTCCCAAGATTTTTGAAGATAGTCGGCTTATGCATGGGAAAATTACCACCCTGATCCTGAAATAAGCAACAAGTATGGTTAAATAGTATACAATAAGTTTTTGTATGGAGATTAGATTTGTGGATAATTGAGTTACGCGGAGCACATTTTTTAGAATGAGAGAGGGAGATAAGGTTATGTCTCCTTGACCTGCTACTGTAGTAAGGGAACCATTAGCAGTGATAATTTTTATCACTTGAGCAAGGAGTGTAATTGATAAAGTAGGAAGTGGAGTGTGTCATGTGATCGGTGGCTCCTGAGTCAATGATCTATAAACCTTTCAAATAATTTCAAGAGGCACTTAATCCAATGGAGCAAAAGAAGATGATGTTGTGATTTTCAAGGTATACTAGAAGTCGTTTTAACTTATCAATATCTTCTTTATTGAGCTCTCTGAAGTTAGACTGCGCTTCTAGGGTGTGCTGACTTGTTATAGTGTTAGCTTATGATGTGATCTTTTGTCCACTTCTTTGGTTCCATTCTTTACTAGGGGGCTTTCCGTATATCTTCCAGCATGTCTCTTTTTTATGTCTTGATTTCTTGCAATAACTATACCAAAGGGAGTCTTTATCTTTAAATTTTGAGGAATCTTTATCTTTTTCCTTCCATGATGCTTCTCTGGTTACAGTCCTTTATGTTACATAAAGATATCAATAATAGTCCCATATAATCTTAAAAATATGATTTCTTTATAATTATTAGTCCTAACCATTTATCTTTTTATTGATTATTGATAGAAAAATACTTATTACTAAAGCATTTTGGATCCTCTTACTCATTAAGATTTTATTAAAAAGAATGGTTAACCAAAGCATTCCAATATCTTCTATGACTCTCCAAACCCCAATAAGTATCTCAACACAACCTAAAGTTTAACTGTATGCATCTTCTTCAAAGTTAACTTAATTTAATGATTTGGATCAATCAACACAATATGCTTCAAAATTTTGCTCACTTTATACTTTAGAAAATTTTATTATTTAAATCTCTCATTACTAATCTTAATCTCGAATGATAAAGGTTGAGAGTTGATGTTATATTAACAATCAATCATAAAACTTGGTATTTAAATCTCTAATAATTGGTACTAGGTTGAAATGAGAAAGGCTGAGAGTTGATATTAGGATGAAAGTCCATCATAAAGTTTATGCCAAAAATAATGAAATTAAGTCGAGCACAAATAGTTAATAAATGATTAATGATGCTGATTAAAACCCTTTTGTGACCTAAAGTTCTTGAATTAGATTGCCTCTATTGTGACTTGGTGGCCATAGGTTCAAATCAAGTAAACAACCTTACTATAGTGCAACATAAGGTTGCATATATTAACCTTTCCCTAGGCCTCTCAATGGAATTCATGCACTAGGAATGCACTTTTTGCATGATTCTTTGATGGCCTCACCTTAAAGAAAGATTTTATTAGCTTCAACCCCTCCCTAGACCCTACATTGATGGGAGGTTCATGCATTACACATGCCTTTTTTCTTTAACATTTGAGACACCTAACTTGATCTAATTCGCTAGGTCCCTGTTAAAATAATGTGTCAACCAATAACTAGGTAAGTGAAACGAAAAAATCATAGGACATATCATGATTATTTCCTATTGGACAAGAAATTAAAATTTTGACAAAGCATGGCACATTTTCTTCCGAGCTAGCACTTCAAACAAACTAAAAATGTGATTGCAGAATGCCATATGCGTGGGTGCCCAACACCTCTGCCTACCTCAACATCACCAACTCTGCCGAACAAGCTTAGTATGTATTTTGAGTTTGAAACAAAATCTCAACTTTTCAACAGTGAGAAGGCGTGTTGAGATCATCTAATATTTTAACTTGTGAGACGTAATTTACCTGTTTAAGCCAACATTCTTGATGCTTGTGCTCATAAATGTCTGGAGAATAACATCCAGACTCTGATGGGCAATAAACCCAGATGTTGCATTTCATGTCACCTAGCTTTGCACTTTTGGCCTGATCTAGGCAAGCTTGACAACAGTCAGCTGCACTTTCTGTGTGGTGGGTAAGGCCCCATCTCACAGCAGCACCCGCATAATCAGTATGAAGTTCAGTATGACATTCGGGCGGCATTGACCGACCGGGGATGATTTCTTCTTCTGTTAACAGGGAAAAATATAAATCAAAACAGCATTACATGACACAGATTTAGAATTTTTAAATTTATTCCAGAAAGAAATTTTCAAATTTATGCTACAACAACAACAACAACATCAAGCCTTTATCCCACTACGTGGGGTCAGCTACATGAATCCTTTTTCTCCATTGTGTCCTATTAAAAGTCAAATTCTCGTTTCAATCTAATAAAGAAAGGTCATTCCTAATATTTTCTAACCAAGTCTTTCTAGGTCTACCCCTACATTTCTTAACATAAGTCAAATCTAATACCTCTACTCTCCTAACCGGGTCATCACAAGGCCGCCGTTTTATGTGACCAAACCATCTAAGGCGACTTTCTCTAATCTTATCTTCTACTGGAGCTACTCCAACCTTTTCACGTATATGCTCATTTCGTATCCTATCTCTAAGGGTAAAGCCACTCATCCACCTGAGCATCCTCATCTCTGCCACACTTAACTTAGTATTATGCTTCTCTTTTAAAGGCCAACATTCGGCACCATAAAGCATTGCAGGCCTCACTACCATCTTATAGAATTTTCCCTTAAGTTTGAGGGGTACATTTCTATCACATAACAAGCCCGATGCATTCCTCCACTTCAACCATCCAACTTGAATTCCGTTGATAATATCCCCATCTATTTCACCATCACTCTGAACAATAGATCCAAGATATCTAAAACGTGTACTCTTATTAATGACTTGATCGCCCAAAGTCACAATCCCCTCACTAGGTCTATTACTACTAAAATTACACTCCATATATTCCGTTTTAGATCTACTCAAGCGAAAACCTTTAGACTCTAATGTTGACCTCCATAATTCAAGTTTACCTTCAACTCCCTCTCTAGTCTTATCAACAAGAAGAATTTATGTCTTATTCAAATTTATGCTACAAAGTAAAAAAAATAATGTTAGCAGAGAAGAACACCTAGCTCATAGGCAGTATCTGGTTTATCATCCACAACTGTGTTGTTAACATCAGAAGGCAACCAAAAACCAATTCCCTCCAAGAACTTCTGCCAATGAAGTTCTAAAGCTATTTTCAGCTTCTCTGCATGCATATCACGTATCAGAGAAAATGTCGACAAAAGAAACCTCAATTAGCATTCAGCAGAATGTAAGACTAAATATGTCACGAAATATAGTGAATTTAAAGGATAATGAAACCAACAAATCTTAGAGACTCTTTCAGTTATACTTGTTTCTTTTGAAAGAATGCTCGGCTTTGTTGAATCTGCAACTGACAACCTCTTGATTTCTTCAATCTTCTGAACACGCCACAATTCTACCACTTCTGAACAAATCAAGTCAAAAGTGTACATTCAGAAAGTGATCACAAGCAAAAAATGAGTTAAATGCAAACAGTAAGTTACAAAGTTATAAGCTGCTAGCGTTTCTTGTTGTGAGGATTTGACTGGATCAAAGCATTTTATTCAAAATAACTGTTGAAAAATTAGAATAAAGAAGAAAAGTAAAAAAAAAAAAAAAGGCTAATTAGGATAATGAAGATCAAGTACATGGCATGCTATTTTAGTGACTGTGATTGTGCTAATTATCAATTAGTATTTACTAAAACTAAGGTGTTAAATAGGTGTTATAGATTTATTGGATCTATTCTACAAAAAAATTGGGGATATAAGGTGTTACAGGTTTAAGTATCTTAGTTCTATTCTATCAAAGATTGGGAATATAGCATATAATATAACTTCTAGAGTTAAGGTTAGGTAGCTTAACGAAGTAGTGTTTTGCAAGTGCAACAAGAGAATATCATGAAGACAAAGGTAAATTTTTTTTTTTAAAGTACAAAGGTAAATTTTATAAATTACAATTAGATCAATCTAGGTTGTATGAATTTGAGTATTGAACAATAAAAATGGGACTGATAAACAAGTAAAGGATGATAGAGATGATAATATTAAGATGAATATGTGGCAAAATCACTAAGGATAGATTGATAATCTATATTATAACATAGGGATGATGGGAGTAACATCTATTAAATATAAGTAGTGAAAAGTAGACTTGGGAGATTTGGGTATATACAATAAAGGGTATAAGATGTACTAAATAAGGAAAATAGGTAAAATTAATATGAAAAAAATTAGAAATAAAAGTGATAGATTGAAAGTAACTTCTATAAGTACAAAAAAAAAAAAAAATGGAAAGATGATGATGTGAATTAGTAGTCTCTACATCCCAAAACTTTTACTGTTAAATTTGATTTGTTAAGATAGATATATGCATCAAAAGTACCTTGCAATAAGAATGCATAATGAACTCTTTAAGATATTTTTTTTTTCAAAATTACATTTAAACCAGCTGTATTAAAGGATCAAAATGACAGACAAACAAAATTGTCATTAATAGATAAGCTCAACTTGAGGCCATATGTGCATGTAAAGAGGTGCAAATGAACCAATTATGCAAGTACATGGAACTAATGAGGAAGGATTGATAGAGAAAGTAATAGAACAAAACTAGCATGTCTAGAAGTTGAGCAAAAGAACACTCAAAATAAAGTTAAGAACTCATTTAGCACAATATAGTAATGACTGCAAAACAGTTTGGAGATGTGTAATGACAGTGATATTGACTTGAAAGATCTGATTTTTATATGCAACAAGATTAAAAGGAAGGTCTATCAGTTTTCAAAACAAAACAGTTCAATTTAAATAAAACCAAACAAAACAAGTTGCAGCATAATTTTTTCCAACATATGTATATAATTTAAACCTCTTAATCAATAATAATCATTAACAGAATTATTTAGAAAATTATTTAAAAAGAAGATAGCCTTAAACAATGCTATTGTAGCGAACAAGCTGATGAGGATGATATGGAGTTTAAGGATTGGGATCAGCAGAATGACTACATTTGGAAGATCAATCATTACAAATAGGATAAGAGGTAATATAATTTTGTTTCAGAAGGAAGTAGAGCTTTAAAACATTTTAAAACCTAGAAAGAGACATTCCTTGGGGCGCTTGCCTTGAACGAGTTGGAGGAGAAATCTGTCTGTAAGGCATACACCCACAGGTTGGGCATCAGCCTGCATATGTCACGTTGTCAAGTTAATTTAAATTAATTTTAAAACATCAAATAATTAAAGTTTAGCCTATTATATAGTCTTCCCATTGTTTAAGTATAATGTTAAATCATATGATTATTTGTCTTGATCTTTGCATGAACTGTTTAACCTCAAAAAATATTTTTTTAATCCCTTATACATGCTTTTACTTTTTAAAAGTTCGATTAGCAAAATCAAAGACAATAAAGCTGTGAATCTATTAGAAGATAAGAATAATGCCTGAAATGAGATGGAGTTTGTTCTTGAAATTGAATTTGCAACATCAAAACCTACAGCTACATCTGATTTGGATGTCTCGAATGGAGAAGACGACTTGGAGGATGAGAAGATTGAGGAATGAGGGCTTCAAGAGTGCACAATGGTTGTCTTGTTTCATTTTGACATTTAATTTGATATGAATTTATGTTTTTGTATCAAATTAACTTTAGAGTTAAATATGAATAATATGTTTACAGACTTTGGAATTTATTTTAATTTTTGTCATATATTTGATATTTTGTATCATAATTTTCTATTTATGAAATTTAATGAATAATTCATGGGGATTACACTCATTGCCTTGAGGATTACACCCCACCTTGTGATTTAAAACATTGGAAGGAAAACATTAAAAGGATGAAGAAGAAAAATGAAACTGGGAAAATAATACGAACCGAGTTAAAAGACGACGAAACCAACACCAACACCAACATCAAGCCTTTATCCTACTATGAGGGTTCGATTAAATGAATCATTTTCTCCACTGTGTATTGTTAAGAATCAAATTCTCATTTAAATCTAATAAAAAGGATAATTTCTAGTATCATATAACCAAGTCTTTTTAAGTCTACATCTACCTTTCCTAACATAGACCAAATCTAATACATCTACTCTCCTAACCGGATCATTAGAAGACCGACATTTTATGTGGCCAAAGCATCTATGGTGACTTTCTCTAATCTTATTTGTCATTGGATCTACTCCAACCTTTTCATGAATATTCTTGTTTCACAATTTGTCTATAAGAGTGAATCTAGTCATCCACATGAGCATCCTCATCAACACTTAATTTTATGCAATATGCATCTGTTTTAATGACCAACATTCTATGCCATAAAGCATTGTAGGTCTCACCACCATCTTACAGAATTTTCCCTTAAGTTTGAAGGGTACTTTCCTATCACACAACATGCCCAATGCATTCCTCCACTTCAACCATCCAACTTGGATTTCACTAATAATATTCCCATCTAAAATGTGTACTCTAAACAAAAAGAATTAAAAAAATGTTTCATAACTAAAAGATAAAGAAGCTGGTTAAGCCACTGATAAATCATGACATGACTGTTTGGATAGTATCCGATCATTTTTCCCTCATTTGCTCAAGATCAGGAATGGAACAAGCTGAATATGCTGACAGAGCCATTCATACCCCTTTCATGATAGCACAAAAACATAGTATCAAATTGGTAAGGCAAATATAACTGCAAATAATCCCATGGTTAGTTATATATTACCTCCTAATTGTCAGAATAGATAGATAATGCTGTTGCCTTACAAATTACCCAAGTTACCATGGCCACATGCAAGAAATTGTAGCGGTCTGAATGCTGATCAAGTTATGTACTTTGCTATAATTCACAGACAAGGACACGACGACACGGATACGACACGACACGGACACGGGACATGTCAGTTATTGAAAATATAGGACACGGACACGAGTTGGACATGGTATTATAGTTTTTATATTTAAAAAATAGTATATAAAAATTAAGTATAATTTTAAAAATAATTTGAAAATAATAAGCCATTTAACTAGAATTTGTACTTAAAATGATTAGTATTAGGATGTCGAGAGTCAGTCGTCGATGTCGTTTATCAGTCAACGAGATAGGAGATGAAAATACCTTCACTGTCAAAAATAAATGAAAATGAGAATATTATATGATTTGGTATTAAGTGCAGACGTTGATTTGGTGTTGTGGATAGGAAATAAGAAATTTAGTTTAAATCCTGCCAAATAAAAGAAATTATATTTAAAAGAATTCATAAAATATTTAAGATATGCGTGTCAGGCACGCGTGTCCAATTTGTATTTAATATTTTTTAATCGGACACGTTTTTAGCATGTCTGACACGTGTCGGAGGAGTGTCGGACTAGTGTCGTGTCGGATACGGTGTCGGACACTGCACGCCTCTTTGAGGAGAAGTGTCGGTGCATCATAGGTACTTTGTCATGATTAAACCACAGTATCATAGACTATGCAACAAAGAGCAAAAGGCACAAATTGAAATCAAGATAACATTCACCAAAGAAACATAAAATAGATTCAAGGAGTCACTATCCACTACTGAAACCCGCACCATTATCATTAGCATATCAGCAGTTTGGATGATCCTTAAAAAAAATTTCTGATTTAGAGCAAAAAATTGTATTATTCCTATCATAGCTAAATTTTTTGGAACTTCTAACCTTGTTCACTTTAAGCAACCCCTGCCAAGCCACTCTACGGGTTCATTTGGGACGGCTTTTTTGTTGCTTCTTAAAACAGCTTTTTAGTATAAAAATTAAAATTTTTATACTAGAAAGCACCTTTAAGAAGCAACAAGAAAGTCGTCCCAAACGAAGCCTACATTATTTCTACCATGCCAGCTTCTTCTCCTTTTCATTGTACATATATCACATTATCACCTTTACTATAAAAAAAAATAGAAGGATCGATTAATGCTATTCAAATCGGACTCCTCCACCATCCCTCTCTATTGCCACTCAACATAAAAACCAAGCCAATTAGCTACCTTATTCTGACATGTTGGAGGTAATGGCTAGTGCTCTGCATGACCCAGCTCAAGCTATTATACAAATCCTGTAAATTACATTTTCTAACAGCACTATCAAGTCCATGGACAAGTTAATCCTAATTTAAATAAAATATTCAAAGTATACCAACAAGCAATGCACAAACAATATTACAAAATGAAATTCTCAATTCTGATATGCTTGGATGGGAGTTAATTTTGGCTTCCTTGATGAAAGTTAACTGGAGTGTCCTATATTGGATTTCACAAAAAAATACAGGCAAAATAGTTCTAAAATCGAAGTACGGTCAAAGCCTGTATGAGAAATCAGCTAACCTCGCTGCTCGGTAAAATTAACAGAGGACCCCAAAGCCTTCAACCTTGAGAGAATCTCGAACGCCGATTTCTGATTAACTGATTTTGATAGTTTGGAACCCTTTTTTCCGATCTTCAATTCCTTCTTCAGTTTCTTAGCCTTAACAAGACCGAACACCAAAAGATCATCAAACATTAGTAAATGATATAAAACAAGCCATACAAACACAATAAAGACGAGAAAAACATATTCTTACCAATCTAACAAGTTCCACGGGTTCTAATGCCTGACGGATCCGAATCGACTCTTCAACTCGCTTAATCTGGTCTTCAGTATAAAGACTATCTGGCGCACAAAAAGCCAAATCAATGAAAACTGAAGAATGCTCCATCAAAAAAACAAAATTTTCAGATAAAGGGATTCCCTGCTTCACCTGGCGTGGACCTTTGACCGGTATTGGACGAGGACGAGGCAGAGGAAGAACTATACAGCGAGCGCAGCAGGGAGATTGAGAGGAAGACATTCACACAGCAGAAGGCCACGAATACCTTCTTGTAAGAGAACCATTTCAATCCTCTAACCCACTCTACCTCTCCCCTCGCCATCGCTCCGCCGCCGAAGTCTTCATATCACTTTGCGGCGTGGCACGTCGAGCAAGCGCCCATAGCCAACTCAACTCCGACCGTCAATTTACTTCCATAGCTCTTCTTGGATTATATAAATAGCATTGGAGACTTGGAGTATCTGTTCGATTAGGATCCCTTCCTTCTGCTGTCTCTCTCAGTATGTTCGCAAGCGCAGTGAGAGAGACGGGAAGGGGGAGAAATGGCGGAGCAGCGTACCGGTCAGTGGCCCGACTCACCACTCTCGTGATCGAACGGCCACATTTATGTCAATTTCTTGTTTTATTAAAAAGGAATTTTTAACTTATTTATAGATCTTTGCATGAAAATATTAACAAATATGATTTGAATTTTACTCTTAGAAAAATAGTTTTCTTAAAAACCATTAAGTTACCAATCCTTTACAATTGAAAAGATTATATATATATATATATATATAAGTGTGGTGAAACATCAACAAAAATATTTTATAAATATAAAAAAATAAAAGAATTATAACCTTTTAATTATTTAATTTGAACTTATTTA